TACGTCAATCAATTCTAATTTATGTCATATACTAACATACCAAATATCGTTTTTTTAACTGAAAAAATAAAAAAGTCATAGGGGTGAGCCACTTTTGGACGCACCCGGTATATAAATATATTATATTTTAATACAGGGTGTCCCAGAAATAAGTGCAAATATTTTAAGTAGTAGTATAGTTCAACCCCAGAAACACGCCTATGAGGTTTTTTTGCGAAAACGGCGACGTGACAAAGGACCAGTGATGCGCGGCTCTCTTGGCCGACGCGACCTTTGGGTTGTCGATGGAATTGTTGAAATACATAGAAAAAATAGCGAAAAAATAAAATACGTATTTAAAATTGTTGAGTGAACCATGTATTTTCTTAGATTGAAAGTAGTTCGGAAAGTGGCAGTAAGAGACAATAATTCTCAACATTTATTCATTATTCAAAGTAATGTGTGCTTTTCAAGGTGTTTTGTAAATCAGTGGTTCAAACTGTGATGAGGCCTATATGAAAATAATGTGTTAAAAATGGGGACTGTTATTTTAGTAGTTATTATAATAGCATGTACAAGTAAAGCAGCACAGTGAAGTGTATTTTAGTTAAGTGTATATCGAAAAAGAGAACTATCACAGTTACATCGACCTGTCATAAGTAACTTTTTTAATGTTGGGTAAGTTTTTTAATTTAACTTTTTTAACACATTTTTTAACACATTATTAAACATTTAACTTTTAATTTATTTTATGTAATAATATCACAATCTTAAAAATGTAATGCATCTCTGCAAACTCCTCAGGTGTTGTGATTTTATGACTTACTTTTAACATATACTTTCTTGTCCCTATGGCAAACACAGTGTCGAATTAACTGGAAATCTGGGCTTGATCCGGGTAATTGGATGTAGTTGGCGATATCTGCCGGCGGTTCTCAAAATGTTGCGATTATTTTTTTAAATTTTCAAAGTTAAATAACTCGGTTATTTTCAATTTATTTTAAAAATGGTAAAGAGAAAATATGTTTATTTTGACCAGATCTACCACCCTTTAAAATATCTGCACTCATTTCTGGGATACCCTGTATAAAGTACTACTGGAGTGCCCTGAGACTTTTACCTCGGAAAGGATACCTTACCTTTTTGAGAAAAACTAATTTAAAATTTTTAACGAAAAAAGCTACCTGTCAAAAAAAATTGTATAGCCTAAATGTCAAATTTATTCCAATAATTAAATGGTTAGAATATCAAATAATATTGGCCATAGCTGCCATAGAATTGAGCATTTAAAAGTTTGTCATAAATCATTTATTTCAAACAGAAACCTACTTTTTTATTTCACTAGTGAAAAGGTTTATCAATTCGTTACTTTTTCATTATACATGTTCCTATACCTAAAATAAATTGTTTTAAAATTATTTATGATTTAGTTTGAAAGCGTATATTTTTTTTTATTTTATCTAGCTTCACTTGACATTAAGTGTCAAACAATCTGGCAATTTATTTCGTTCTGTCAGAAAACTAATAATTATAATTACTTATATTATTAATACAGCTGTTTAAAACTTTACTGATATTTTAGTGATATTTAATAGGTACTTAATGTTATTTTACATAATTTATTAATACAAAAAACTGGTGCTGGTCAACTTTTCAGTAAATTAAAGCATAGTGAAATTCAGGAAGATACACCGAAGAAACAATTCTTGAGAGAATAATAAAATTTAAATTATTTTTTTCTCAAGAAGTGCCATTAAATCTTGAGTTTAGATGTGCACGTATTTAGGAACCGACACTTCAAGAGAAACATATATCGGCATATTCCTGACATATTCGTAAATGGAATATTAAATCTATAGGCCTATATAGTATACGTGCCGTATAAAATCCATATGCGCTCTCCTGATTTATTAAAAAAACAAATAAAGCCAGCGATGTGTGTGTGTGTGTTGCTGGCTTTAGCGTACGTAATACGGAAAAGGAATATTTTCGAGCGACCACCAGCGATCCAGGTGCTCAAAATGGCGCAGGAAAGCTGTTCCGGATCCGATATTGGAATTTTTACGAGCGGATTGTCCTTTTTTTGTCTCGGGTACAAGTAAACAACTGTATTAAATCGGGACTCTTTTATTTTGGTCGCTGTAATCGAAGAAGAACTATATTCCTTATATGCCAGAAAATGTAAGGAACAAAAAGGACAAGTAAGAGAAATATAAACACGTCCTACATATTAAGATGAATGGGAATGATCTTAGCAGCCCATACATTATCAAACAAATTGCGCAACACAGGCTGTTGCACAACGAGTTGGCAATGTATGGTAAGTTTCAAGAATGTTTGAATTCTTTTGTGCAACAGGCGTTTGCGCTGCGCGTTGGGTAGTGTATGTGGGTGTTGCGCTTAGTTGTGCAATATTTTAGTTCTTTCATCCAAATTCTTTATTTTCGTTTTCGTTTTTTGGTATCATTGACCTCATCTAGGGTATATACGATAATAATTGACGCAATGGTAATTGAGGACATGATTGTTTCTCAAACAATGCACAACTTTTAATAAAAAGTTTGATGAAAATTTTACTAAGTGCATGGGTGATGCAGTTGTGCAACGGAACGTTGCGCATCGCTTTGTTGCGCAACTTGTTTAATAATATATGGACCGCTGAATCAGTTGTGCAACGCAACGTTGCGCATCGCTTTGTTGCGCAATATGTTTGATAATGTATGGGCCGCTTAAATTATCAAACAAATTGCGCATCAAAGCGATGCGCAACGTTGCGTTACACGACTGATTCAGCGGCCCATACATTATCAAACAAGTTGCACAACAAAGCGATGCGCAATGCTGCGTTGCACAACTGCATCACTCATGCACTTGGTAAAATTTTGATTAAACTTTCTATTAGAAGTTGTGCATTGTTCGAGAAACATGTTCTCAATTGCCATTGCGTCAATTATTATCGTATATATCCTAGATGATGTTGATGATACCAAAGAACGAAAAAGAAAACAAAGAATTTGGATGATAGAACTAAAATATTGCACAACGAAGCGCAACACACTCATACACTATACAACGCGTTGCGCAAACAGTCCTGTTGCACAAAAGAATTCAAACATTCTTGAAACTTATGAAACAATTGCGCAACGCATCAAACATTACCATACATTGGCAACTTATTGCGCAACAGCCTGTGTTGCTCAATTTGTTTGATAATGTATGAGCCGCTTGGTCTAAGACACTCGAAGAAATTTCTCAGAACTTATGATCGAAAAAAATCAAAGATTTTCCTTGATATAAGCAACAATTTTCGTATTGGTGCGGGGTTTTTAACCTGACGCTGTCTCTTCAATGAATACCTCAGTAGACTAAAGCTACGTGCTTTGATTAAGGTTTGCAGAGCTTCAGCATTTGCCATAAGATAGCGAGTAATTTGTTAAAAAGCCCACCATCTTTTCTCACAGCTTTTTCCACAACAATTTCCACATTTTTCAGCTCAAGAGACTTACAAGCAGCAAAAGCCTCCTTGTCAGAACAAATCTTAACAGATTTAACCTCCCCCGGTATATTTACGGATGTCGAGTCAGAGCAAAATGGTAGAATTCGGATGTCAACAGTGTTTGATAAGATGTGTTTACAGCCTGTGGACGAAGTACCTGGTGCTGGCGGCGATATATTTAAAGGTCTTGTAAAAGAATTGGCAGTGAATATTTCAGTACCTGACGGCCACATACCTATGTCCTTCAGCTGCTCAAGGTAGATCTTGTTCTGCACACCAATTTTGAAACAGAGTGTGAACTGTCCTTATTTTTCAGCAAGGGAAAGCATCGGATAAAGTCAGTAGCTCCAAGCTTTTCCTTGGCATAGTGTGCAAGCTGGTTTGCTGTATAAGATGGTGGGATTTTGGACACTAACACGTAATGCCAATCTTTTTTCTTGGAGAATCCGTGAGGTGTGGGTGTAATGGTTTTTGGAGAAGTAATACCTACTGTGTTCTGGTTGTCCGAATGGTCAGTCTGCGTCGAACTAGACTTTTTTCCTATTTGTGGGTTACATCTAATGTTTGTCTTTTCATTAGAGGCCAACTTTTCCGACAAGTTGGAAATATCCTGCTTCATTTCCCTGATGGAATGGAATAAAGATTCTTGTCTACAATCAGACAAACTGGTATGGAGGCTGTGAATGTCATCCACTTTCTTGTACAAGCTCTTCCACTTGGAGTCATGGTATAACTCAAAATATCGTCCATCTCGGTAATGACTAGAAGGAGATCATTGTTCTTCTTTAGACAGGTTCCCAGAGCTTCAACAGTGTTTAGAGAGGCTTGCGATTTTTGAACTTGAGTCACTTTCTCATGAAGATACTTTAACGTGGGTGAGTCAAGAATCTGATATTGTTGTACTTTTGTTGGCAGAGTATTTTTGTTGTTATCTAACCCAGTACAAGAATACACAAGTTCCGGCGACATTCTCCATTACAGCGAAGTTTATATTTGTCCTTTTCCGAGACAACCTTCTGGTAGGAATCACACTTAAACTCAGCCATTTAGATAGTAGCAATGAAACGATTTTAAATAAAAGTCAGTGACAGCGGAACGGAAAAGAGATTAGGAAAATAAACCGAATTTTAAATTATGCCTTTATTTTCGAGAAAGTTTAGTCAAAACATAAGGAATATTTTCTTGATGTTTGACAATCAAAATCTTAAAAAATAAAGAAGTTATCTAAAAATGTGCTACAATACGGATATAGTATAACCAATTATATTTAATTTTCTTCATTTGTGTAAAAATATTTAGTCATTTTTACATAAAACGTTAAATGCCGAACCCTTATTTTCCTACTTTTTCAGACTAGTGCAATGGGCTCTTAAGTTATACACGATAAAAAGATATATTGATAAATCAAACGTTTCAGTAAAAGATTTTAAATTTGACAAACAATAACTAACCACAAAAAAGCTTTTATTACCTGTTGTAATTATTATCTGTTAAACTTTTACCTTAAACTTATGCGCACGTCATCCATCAAAATCGGAAAGCAAAACGAAACGTCAATTTATTTCTTGTTTGTCAAATTTCACAAAAAATCACGTTAATGTTATTCGTTTGCAACTAAACGGCCATCACAAGTTCCTCATAGTCCAGTCAATCGATGGAAAAGCCCAAATCGTCGGTCGTAAAATCGAATAATCCAAAGCCAGTGAGTGTTTTCTACGTTTGGTACGCCGAACTGTGTCGTCGTCTCAACATCAACCCTTCGACTTGTGTGAAGCCGGCCAAACCGAAATGCCAAACGGTGCTCGATTTCGTAGCGGACCGTTTGAAAGTGGAAGATTGGAACCCGGTGCTAAACGCATTGCGCCAAGACACGAGTTTGCACGTTATAGCCGTACGCAGCAAAATAGGTAACTGTCAATTTTTGCACGACGTCGACACGGAGGAAAAGGCCAGAAACGTCAAACGGAAATACGGCAGCATTTGGACGGCCTACATCCTACGGCAAGTACTAAAATCCCTTTCCTACACTTTAAGAAGCACCCAAGTCTTAACTTATCTCGAACTAGAAGGTCTGCCTCTGTTCATGCAGTACCTAGAACCCCTCATGCAAGCTTTGAAGAAAAACAAAACGCTAAAATCGCTCTCGTTTTCGAACTGCTTGATTCAAGACATCGGCTGTCAAATGGTATGCTCCTATCTGCGATTCACTCCCAATATAGAGATACTTAACTTATCTGGATGCAATCTTTCACCTGTCAGCGGTGAGCACCTGGCGAAGTTAATCAAGTACCAGCAAATCAACAGGTACTGCGAGAGCTGGCACAATTCCTTGAGGTACGAGAATCCAGATGCAGGAAAAATGAGAGGTATAAAACGAATAACCATCAACTGTAACACGTTCTTTGGTGACGCCGGTCTAAGTTTTATTCTCAACGAGCTTGAGGATGACTTATGGGTGAAAGCTCTGGATATGCAACGATGTGGATTCACCGAAAACCTCGCTTCTAGGATTATAGACGTGGTAGAATACAATAAAACCCTGGAAATAGTAGACTTACGAAGAAATGAACTGCTAACTCTATCGACCATTGAAAAAGTTCTTCATGCTTTGCAGCAACGTCAACGTTTCGGCATGCAGAGCGAATTCCAGTGGTGCGCCACAGCAGTAAGCTTAACGTGGTCCTCCATTTATTCTTCGGCTTCAAAGAGTTCCCTCGCGCCTACGTTGAAGAGCGTTCACAAAACCAGGTCAGCACCGATGAAGAGTTCCAGCTCGAAGGCCAGCGCTGTCACTTGGGATCCAACTGTTCGAAAAACCAGGACTTTGGAATCGGTAAATAAAAGCGTGACGAAATTTGCAAGTTTGCAGGACACGAAAAAGCAAGTCTTGGAGTTGAACGATAAACTTCAAAAGGAGATACAGAAAAGGAAGGAAATTGAAAAGAAAAACGAAGAGTTACAGTGTCAGTTGAAACATATAAAAACAAATTCGTATATTTCTTCGAAAGATAGTTCGAAGCAAATCGGGCCAAAGGATGAGAAAAAAACTATCAAGGTAAATGGGATAAATGGTATTAAGAAACCTTTTGTTCCAAACGGATTGCACGTGAAGAAAGTTGAAATACGTAACAACGTAGTCAAAGAACCTAATAATCCTCCTCCGTTAGTGATGAGAAGGAAAGAAGGTAAAAAAACTCTAAAAAAGGAATGTCCAGCAAACGGGATAGTTAAAAACGGACTACGCAAAAACGGAATAATAAATGGATTTAAAAATCAAGTTCCGAACGGATACAACAACCAAGGTAGTCACTTGTACAACATTCTGGAGAAAATCCTTAGCACTGGAAAACCGCTAGAAGAAAACATCGAATGCGAAATGATGAATTACCTGAATAACAATAATCTAAAGGATGAAGACAAAGCCACGTCCAAAAACCACTCGATTTCGACCAGCCAGGTATCGTTATACCAGTATATGGAAGAACTGAAAACGGACAATACCTAGTAGAGCTGCTCCCCATCGATCTACACTAATAAATTAAATTTAAGAACATAAAGGTGACTTTCATTTCAAACAAACGAAGGATATAGATTTCAATTAGCGTGTGATTTTTTTCGTAATTTTTAAACTGAATTTGTCCCCTCGATTAATGTAAGGTACTGTAAAAAAGGCAGCTGTCAAAATTTGATGTTAATAAAATTAAATATGACTAGGAGTTCTGTTTTATTTAGCCATAAAATGATTGAGTAGAGTTTGTAGAGTCTTTTTCTTTATTTATGATTATTTAAAATTTCAATAATCTAAAGAATGTAGAAAATATGTTTATAAAAATTACAAAACCGTCTTTCAACACATTTTCGAATTGAAACACAATGTATACCTGTCATATTTTAAGTTATATTTTTCGATTTTATAAACCTTATGTTATAGTATTTTTTTTTCCTAGTTATTAAGTTAAATAATTAATAATTAAATTAATTTTTATTACTTATTAAGATTAATTAAGCAAATCTTTACTTAGGTGTAAGACAACTAAATATATTAATTTTATATTCTAAGAAAAAGCTAAACAATATGAGGCACAAATTTAATATTTGTATAATAGTAGTAATAATGAGTTAAAATATCAAAAATATTAACTAGTAATAAGTTATTTAAAACAAAAATTGTAACAGGTAAAAAATACATAGCTTCTTTTTTTTAAATAAATATTACATACAGGGTGACAATTTGAAAACGAATAGTATTTAATATTGCCCCTGCCGATGATAGTATGAAAATTTGGCAAAACACGTCAATTTACATATCAAGGGTGACAATTTTTGAGGCATTTGTTGTCGTGATATTTTGAACCCCTTGACCCCCAGGGCACCTACCCCTAAATTTTTTAATAGCAACCCCTATTTCTTTTACCATTTTTGTGTTTCTTATAGAATTCTACATAAACTGCATTATTTTTAGGAGAATTTTATAAGGAACACAAAAATGGTAAAAGAAATAGGGGTTGCCATTTAAAATTTTAGGGGTAGGTGCCCTGGGGGTCAAAGGGTTGAAAGTAACACGACAACAAATGCCTCAAAATTTGTCCCCCTTGATACGTAAATTGACGTATTTCGTCAAATTTTCATACTATCATCGGTAAAGGTAATATTAAATACTGTTCGTTTTTAAATTGTCACCCTGTATATTAAATACACATGTACCCTGACCTACAAATAAATATATTGCAGTGGTTGTCAAATTCCGATGGTGTAAATTTTCTAAGCGATTTACGTATGGCTATTTTTGTAAATATTTATATTGATACTAGCGTGTATCAGCGACTTCGTTCGCGTCGAATTAATCATTTGTAATGGCGATGATAAAGCAAAGCAAGAATTTCCATTAGCATACAAACTGGATAAAATTTTCTCACATTTATGTTAGCATGAGAAAAAACAATATGGCGCTATTATTATATAACTTGGTATTATTTGAGGGGTAGTTTCATCTCGTTAGAATTTGACTTTCGAAAAATCCGTTTGCCAAAAATAAGCTTTTTACATCAAGCAGTTTAAACAAAATCAGATTTTTGATTTTTGATTTTTGATTTTTGATTTTTGATTTTTGATTTTTGATTTTTGATTTTTGATTTTTGATTTTTGATTTTTGATTTTTGATTTTTGATTTTTGATTTTTGATTTTTGATTTTTGATTTTTGATTTTTGATTTTTGATTTTTGATTTTTGATTTTTGATTTTGATTTTTGATTTTTGATTTTTGATTTTTGATTTTTTGATTTTTGATTTTTGATTTTGATTTTTGATTTTTGATTTTTGATTTTTTGATTTTTGATTTTTGATTTTTGATTTTGATTTTTGATTTTGATTTTTTGATTTTTGATTTTTGATTTTTGATTTTTGATTTTTGATTTTTTGATTTTTGATTTTTGATTTTTGATTTTTGATTTTTGATTTTTTGATTTTTGATTTTTGATTTTTGATTTTTGATTTTTGATTTTTGATTTTTGATTTTTGATTTTTGATTTTTGATTTTTGATTTTTGATTTTTGATTTTTGATTTTTGATTTTTGATTTTTGATTTTTGATTTTTGATTTTTGATTTTTGATTTTTGATTTTTGATTTTTGATTTTTGATTTTTGAATAAAAACAGAAATACAGGGTACAATGGTGCTCTTGATGGAGTGTTCCATTCACCTTTGACGACATGCATGGTATAGATTTATTATAATTTGATTCAAATAAAAAAAAATACAGACAAAAATTTACTTTTACCATAATATTTATTTAAATTAGAATTACATGAGATCGGAAAAAAATATGCGTAAAAGACAATTTTAACATAAAAAAACAAATTGGATCAGCATATCGAATAAAAAAATAGAAGAAAAGCGTCAAAGGGACACTCAATCAAATCTGGAATTGAAAAACTGCCATGCATTTCGAACTGTAGGGTCGTCTCGAGTGTCCGTCTCTCAATTTATATGTAGATCTAGTCGAAGGACATGCCGAACTCAAGACCCGGCACTGTCCTCCTCCTCCTTGAAGTTGTGTTCAAGACGCAACCGGCAAGATTTATTAATTTGCATAGCCGCTTTTGAAGCCCGCCGCCATCACAGCGCGCGCGGCTACCAATTCTAAATTATTCATAACTTCGCTACACCCCATGCTATATCTGTGTGCACGTGTGTGTATGTATAACTATCTGCGTCGGTATAATTGGGTTTCTATGAACTAACAACTAATTTGAAACTGATGCTTTCGGAATTTAGGCACGGATAGCAGCAGGAGAGAACACGTTATATTTTCTGATTTAATTAAAAGTATCTTCGTCGGATCATTCCAGAATTTTGCTGTCTATTTCAAAAGTTTAGTTCGTAAAGAGCGATTTATAAAATAAAGCGTAAACTAATTTCAATGAATTTCGATAGCTACCTAGGCGTATCTCGATTTTTGGCGATTTTGAGATATCAACGTCATGACATGCCCAATGGGTCATATTTTAACATAGCGAATTTGCGCATCTCAATATTGTACCTTTTTCATTTTATATTAGTTTAAAAATTTGCCCCATCTCAAATACTACAATTCTTCGTTATGACGAAGAGACGTATGTTGAGATAGGGCTCTTTGTTATATCAATTATTGTTAGACCAATTGTTATACTAAAGAAAGATGGAATGTGAGATGGGTCCTTTTGTTTTAAGTTATGAAAATGCATGGCGAGAGAAAATCACACCATTCTACCTAATTTTTTTCTGACGGTTGCTTGGGACAAAATAAAACTTCTATCATGGCAGCAGCTCTCTTTTACAGTGTGATTTTAGAGTCTATTTTTTGTCAAAACCATTGTTAGAATAAGCTAGACTCTGCTCATAGCTGTATCGGGTTTGCTAAAAGATTGTCCGAGAATAAATGGCCCAATAAAAGGAAAATTTTTGATCGAAAGCAAAACAACGAAACGAAAATTGCCCTAATGGAAAATTTCCCGAAATCATAATTTCTCTAAGAACATTTTAGCGAACCAAAAACTTTCATCTCATTAAATTGTCAGGTCATTGGCATTGTCATCCCTACCAATTTTTGAAAAATTTTATTTATTTTGCCTATCATCATCCAGCATAAACACGTAGAATGGAAGTCGAATTTGTTATCATTGAACAGGGAAAACAGAAACTATTACTCCACAGTTATTTGTATAAAAAACGAATGAAGAAACATGTTTTGTTTTTGTTTAGTTTGGTTTTTATTATATGGACCGTGAGTTTAAATTCCCTGTTAAATGCCCTCAATTAACTAAAAAATTACTAAAAATATATTAGTTAAAAATGCATTTTTGTATAAAAAACAATATTATTAAAATAAGCTAGATAAGAGTATTTTAATTGATTATTGTCTTTGCTTGTGGCATGAAAATTGTCTTTGTTTTCAGTTGATCTAATCCAACGCGAATAAAAGTATTTAAAAATATTTGTTTCTGATTTTTTGGCGATTCTCAGATTTTTTCTTGTATGTATGTATTGTATTTTCTTGTAAGTATTCCATAATGTGAATATTGTATCATTTTTTTTTCTTATTAAGAACACTTTACCGTCATTTTTGAATTTATTTTACATGGGCGTATGTATACTACTCGTTCGGAAATAAATTTATTATTATTATAACAAAAAGGCCTATCTCTATTAAACAACTAAAAATAAATTATTTATTAGAATTTACGCTCAATTTATCTTCAGAACGTTTCCTCAATGTCTCCGTTTGAGTGTTAATACAAAAACACTATTAAAAAATTAAAGACTTTAGATTTATTGGCCAAATAAAGTAAGTGATTTTCTTTAAAATGCTCTCCTGAAAAGTAACAAAATCGAGATACGCCTTTTCGTCATAAAGCCGACGATATGATTAAAAAAACATGGCACTCAAAATTTTTCTTAAAAACTATAATTTTCTCACATAAACGCAAAACAAAATTGAGAAATGCAGCAAGGCTAGAAAACGTACCCGGCTCGAGGCTACCTGTTTTTGACGTCACTGCTTTGATCGATCGATGGCGTCCGTACGATCGTGCACTTGCCGCATTGTTTTTACAGACGTTCGCGAAGGTGTATTGTTTATTTTCATTGTTCTGGTGTTTTGAAGAAGTAAAATGAGTTCAAATAAGTGGTGTTTTGTCCCTGGGTGTATTAATACTTCAAAAAATAATCCACAGAAGTTTAAATCGTTACTTTGCGCCCCTTGCTTTTAATTCTTATTTTCTACTTTTAAGTGCATTTAATTTTAAGCTTGTTTTTAAAAAGTTTTTTTATCAATTTTTTCACTTGTAAATTTTTCGCTTAATGGGTCCTATAGGGTGTCCAATTTAAAATGAGGTACATGGGGATCTTGAAAACCGTTGAAGATACAAAGTCGGTTAAATGGAAGCAAAGTTGCGTATTTGTGTGCCCAAAAATAATCTGATCTGATACAAGGTGAAAAAAAAAGATCGGCAAAAAAAAAGTTTTTTTAATTTCACTCAAAATGAGTTATTTTGGTCATAAATGACCTAAATACAAAATATTTTCATGGTGTCTGTCTGTCTGTCTGTCTGTCTGTCCGTCTGTTAAATAAAAACAGATCTAACCTTCCCCCACCACTTTATTTTGGTAGGTAGGGGAAAATAGCCTTAACAAAAAATATTCAAAATTTACTGAAGATTATGAAGCATTTTTATCTAGG